AATAGCACTAAAATCTCTCATGCATAGTGCGTGTGGCGCAATGATCAGAGGTGTTCTGCGTCACACACGTGGTCGACAGTTCGATCTCGCGCTGAAAGCTCACCGATCCTTCCATACCTACGCGGCTGATGAATTGGTACAAGACTTGTCTGGAGGATAGCAGCTCTGGCTTGAAACAGCGGTTGACCTCCGCGAATCATTGTGAATTACAGATATACAATCAATCATCTCAAACGAAACTAATAATTGAAGACGAATTCATGGCATATCCCTCAGGGATTGATCAACGCTGAGAGCTTTATTAAGCTTCACGGCTTTATAGCTCTGAATTGATGGAACTAAATCATTTCCTTAATTTGTAATATTCTCTGTACTTCGAGTTTTCTAATTATCGAAAAGCATAGCTTATTGTCAAAAAACCCCTTATGGTCATTACTTGTTCTGTCCTCATCATGGCCAAGTCGATGAAGTATGCAGTTAACATAGAATTGGAAGTCATTCAATGAGGTTATTATGACGGTGAATATTGAGCCTCAAACATAGTGCATATTAATTATTATGATTGCGTGTAATTGCACTACAATAATTCACTTTACCAAGGCAAACGAACAGCTTCTTTGTCTAGTTATTTGAAGAGGAAAGAATAAAAATGCAAGCCAATAATTACCTGTTTTTCAACTGAACAAATATAAGGGTGTTATTACACTGTTTGCTTACAAGAATGACGTTTCTGAGGATTTCGCCTATTCCGGAGTCTGGAAAAATAAGTTTATTGCAATTTTTTACATTGGCACAAACTCATCGTCACAATTCACTGTGCGGATCGCAACACTTCTTGCATTTGATTCATTTCCATGCATTCATACTCTACACAAGTCCTCGAATATTTCACGTTTTGCTTCGCCTGGTGTATGAAAATTTCGTCTTCTTCATGAATTTCATAGAATGCTGTTGAGATAGATATCCTTGTAATCTTGGCTATGCTCAAGGAATGGCGCAAGGCGTTTGTCAGTCGATTGCAAGAGAGTGATGTGGCAAAGATTGCACCACGCCTTTGATAATCACCTCAATTTCCGATTCAACGTATCAGTAACTACAACGTCACTGCGCACCGATTGCAATCTGATCAAACATATATATCAATTTTCTGGAAAGGTAAGCACAGAACATTAATTTCAGGCACATCTAAAGCAGCTGAGAATATGAAATGAGGAGGAACTAAAGCCTCACTTTTTGCACAATCCTACTACCATCTAAGAACTCCATGAAAATAGAATTTTTGGTTGATGAAAGTCAGCCACAAGTCACTTGCATTTGCTTCCAGTATCTTAGAAATACCGTACGACCTAAGATGAGAACAGAACTAGGCAGTGTAGCTAAAATAATTAATTATGTAGTTTCGTGATTTTGTGCTTTCAGTTAAAATTTAGTGGTTTTTGCCATTGCCATCGGATCCTGCGGAACGTTGGAAGAGATAAATGGCCAATCTTATCACTTGTTGTCACGCTTCGTTCACCTCACCACGATGGTGAATCCATTTTTAACTTAATTACAATTATAAATTATTCTAATTGTGTAACAGCTAATTTCGAATTAAAAAAAAAACCTCCATTGAAGGGCAATAGTGTTGGTTAACATTATTGACTCGCTGCTACATTTTAATTACCGTCAAACAACAAACCTTGCTGATGTTTTCTTTGGGCACACATAGGATTACAGGAATGCCATTTATTTGATAACGGTTACCTTATTTGCGGTTTCGTCTTTTTCAAAGATTGGAAAAAGCTAGAGTAACACGAATTCTCCCCACTCGAGCACTTCCAGGCCACTAATAAAATTTCATACGAGCTTATTCGAAATCCACTACACCACGCAGTGATGCAAAAAAGTTTGTTATCAAAAGCATACCTGTCCATTACGTGTCATCTACTTCGTTCACACACAGAAAATGTACTCGTGAGAATCATGCATTGATCACTTACCAATTTCTTCACAGTAGAAGAGCAAAAAAAAGCTCTAATACCCGCTCATTGTATGGAAAAGCTAGGACTTATGATAGTGGTTGGAATTGAAATAATAGTCTATTATTGCTTAAATTACTGGTTGATCAAGTTATTCGAAAGAATACTTTTTGTCTGTTATCGTTGAGAGATTTTAAGGTTTTTGTTAGGAGATGGGTTGCAAGTGACGCAACATCTGTTTGGATCGCTTGCCGATTACATAAAAAATTTTGGCAGAAGCAAGAACGTAGGAAGTAAAATAGAAAAAAGCAGCATCTGTGTAGCGATATGAGCCTCCAGAAACGGAGTGCTTGAAATGAAATACACTACGTCCAGATTCTCGTCCCACTAAAGTACTCAGTTAATCTTGAGCGTTCTGTGCTAACCACATAACACAACAAATTCCCTGACGACACACAATCTTTTATGGAGGCGTATGAAACTGCATACAATTTCCGCCGCTCGTCGAGCGATCAGTCATGGATGAGACAAGCCGGCTGAACTGCCCTTAGCTCCACACGGCTCCTTATCCTGTACTTCTCGCTTGATAGTTCGGTTTTTCGTGTGCTCTCATGATAGATGCTTTGTTATTCATATAATTTTCATTTCGCAATTTAGGCGTTCTCTTTGCTGAGCCTTATATGTTCTTTTTTTTGCAACATATACAACCATTGTGTGATGGAAAAATTCGTACACCATGTTTTTCTCTCATCCTATTCGGCATCCCAATATGTTAATTTTTATTATTTTTACTCATTTGATACTTCTGCCATACCTATCACAATGGCTGTGAAGAGATGAAGAACTCATAATCGTTTGCAATTTCGGCCGATTTGACCTCCGTAGAAGTCATAGAATACATAAATTAAGGTTATCTGATTGAAAGAAATATTTTAGCCCATAGTAAACGTTATTATTATAAGAATACGTTGCGGAAAAAAATTTTTCGTTTTTCATCTTGAAGGCCATATTCCAATGACGAAAAAAAAAACGAACGCATAGGATTCCATACATCAAAGCACTATTATAGTGCTCTCCGATGCATTGCTGGTTTTTAGAGGCAACCGTCTTACGTGGAAAAGCTTGAAAATTTATATTCTACTATTAATTATTAAGGAATAATATTGAGTAATTCAAAATTCGAAAGTTCTTGAAATTATGTCTATTATCGAGGCAATAATGAGTCTTCTTCATGACTAAAGTTTTAACATCTCTAATTCCCCTTTTTCCCAATTACTAGGATGATTCCCATGACCAACTATCAGTTAACCTGGCATTGTTTGAATATCTCCCTGACTATCTTATTCAGCAAGTACGAGGTTGTTAATTTGAAGATTTATTTAGTACAGATGAACAGTACAATGAACTTAATCGTGATGGCTTAAAAATTGGTGAGGTCACAGTATTTTTCAGTCTTCACTTTGAGATGTGAAATGTCAGGCTCGTACAGCAGAGATTTATTAGAGTTGCTTATGCATGCCATCAAGATAACAGATCAGCCCGTTGGTCCAACAAGTCAACACTAATTACATGAAACTTTATGGAGCTGACAAGAACGTTTGTAGTGACAAGTCTCTCACACCGCCTACTATTGAGAAAATGATGTCTTTCCAATTCATCCTTTCTAAAAGATTTAAATACTGAGGATTTGCTTTACAATGTGCAAGTAGTGTGCATAAAAAAGTTGGTGTGGTCTAAGTTGATTTAATGGACAGAGCGCAAGTATCCATGCCGTCAAATAGTTTGAAAAATATTCTAGAAGGTCAATATTAGCACGCAAGGAGACAGAGACGTAATGTCGAGACTGATTTTTCATTTTTTCAGTACCTGGCGGCGATTAGATTAAGAGGTAGTCTAGGTGGTCGAATATTTTCAGGAAGGTAACGGAAATGCTTAAAACATAGGTTCCGAGCATGGTGAAGACAAAACCTACACCTTCTTTTTGTAACAACCATTTGGTCAGTGGAGAGGATGACCTACACAGAGCTTACATAGGTTGACAAAATAAGGAATTAAAATCCCTAGCACAAAGAAATAGTCAGAGGGAGGCCCACAACAACAAGTAAATAGGAGTTATTTCTTTCTGCCGTACAATTTTGAACGTTGGTGTGCATTGCAAAAGTCCTAAGAGTTTTACACGCTATTGTCTTAGATTCTTGAGCAGTTATTGTAATTTTAACATTGGGATTCTCCCGCGTATGTTACTTGTTCAATAATTGAGCAATGGAGAATGATATCTAACTTCAGATTTTCTAATGATTTGTTCTTTTATGCCCATATGAAGAGTATAAAGTGGTACACTTGTTTCGTCAATGTAATCATCTCCATAAGTCTTCCGTAAGATGCATTGTACTCTATCTGTCTCCGCTGTTCGTATAAGTTGCGCAGTTCCGTACTCGACATGTACTCATGCATAGGCAATTACCGTTTGGATGACAAAGAAGAGCGTTGATGACGACACCTTAACTTTTCTTCCCTACACTGACCACATTCTCCATCTTGTACAAACTCTCTGTGGGCACTTTCTCTTTCATTGAACTTCGAGTGATTTTAATAAAGTACGATGGTAATTTGTGCAAAAGACTACATTTTCTCATGACCTCTCCAACGTCTCGGGAAAGCGAAATCAGCCAGATGTCGAAATCATGATGAAATGAATGCTACTTTAACGAGGTCAGGTCAGCTTGTTAAGGCCCATATTGACTCATGCATATTATTTTAGTCACATTATTATTATATGAGCACATCACGTTGACAATTTGCTGAAAGGGAACAATAAGCAAAAACTCGAACTTATAGAAGCATGAGCATCTGTGGAAACATTTTTTCAGCTAATTCAAGATTGTAGTAAAATGAAATTTGTTTGCAAATTACATGTCATCACTTTGTTCATTTGAGAATCTCCTACGGTGCGCAATGTATGCATCGAAACATACCATCATACCAATAAGTGGGATTTTTTGAACAATCAATAGTTATAGAGTGCTGGGCAAAAACATTTGCGTCAGCCAGGATTCGAACCCAGATCTCACTCTTTCCGGAAGCGCGTGCTAAATTGTTACACTACCGACGCTCGTTCTGCACAACACTCTTTCTACACTACAACGCGTTATCTGTCAACGCTCTCGGAAGGACTGAGATCTGGGTTCGAGTTCCGGCTGACGCAAATGTTTTTGCACATCACTCTACATTATTGGGTTTATTATAAGATCATACCATCGTAGGACGTGGTCAAATAAATGAATTCCGATTAATTAGCAGTTGATTTCGGTCACAAGAAGTATTGGCGAGAAATACGAGTATTGTATCACCTCAATAACGCATCGTAGATGTTAGGTAATGCAATTCTAGAGTTTTGTAATGCGAGCTAATATGATGGGCCGCGTATAGGAATTTTGAAAGGAACGAATGAAATTTGCACAAATACTATGGAATTTCCAATAATAACGGAGTAGTGATCTCATATATAATTCACGAACTATCGTCGAATCATTTGATTTTCAACACGCTATTCTCCTTCACTGAAATCGTCAGATAGTCAGTAGCGAAACCTCGTGGTATTTAAGCATAGATGAATGGCCAAGAGCTATTTTGTATGCTGTACGTAGATATGCGCGCATTATCGTTGATCCCATCGGACAACCCCAAACCTCACAAAGCATTTCTTTCCACTGATGTTCGCAAAATCGTCACGCATTGCCTGTGGGGAAGGAGCTTGGTACACTGGTGGACCATAGTCATTATGGAATGCAACTCTTTCTCATAATCTCACGTCTCGTCATGCCTAATGAAGTCGATTACGAGTTGTAGCCGTGAGAGACTGATCAACAGCGAAAGCTTTATCCTTATTTATTTATATACATATTTATATTTATGCATATATATATACACTGTTTACTGCATGCATATCTGTATGGCATATATATATATGTATATATACTACTCATAGTTACTTATATATGTAACTATACATTTTTCATTATCTTTGCCATGATACGTGCAAGTTTGGTTCGTAATAAACATTTTTGCTATAATGAAGAGCGCAATGTGGGGCGTGGGCCACTGACGAAGAGGGCGAGGCACACGTGTGTGGCTCTGGCGTATCAACCTCGCTAAGGCTTTAGAAAATCTTAAAAGTTATATTGAATGTTTATTGCGAGGTTGAGAGACAGTCGATGTTATAATTATAAAAATTTTTAATACAACGATTCTGTATCCCACTCAAAAACTCGTCTTTCCCTATTAAAAATCGCATAAGGCGCTTATTGTTAAAATTAATTAACAAAACTTCAAGATCGCCCCTCAAATCGTGAGAGTCGCTTCACTTCGGTTCATTTGTTTGAATTGAAACATAAAGCAATGCATCAAGCTGAAACTGCATAACACTAGTGTGAAGATGTCATCTCTGTGTATTATGTAACGATTGCATTCAACCTGCGTAGTGCCGATGGTGAATGTCATTAATTGCAATGAAAGCTATTAGAGCCTATTGAGTCGCCTACAAAGTGAAAATCTTCTTATTTTGTCTTGAAGAACTCTGATCTTGTGGAGCACGTGCGTCATATACTGTTTTGATGAAAACGAGGGCGTCGAGACGTTGACCGAATGAATTTTATTAACACCTTCGTGCTGCAAGGACGTGACCAACAGAAAAAGTATGTGATTAGTAATGCCGAGGTTGAAATAAGTCGGTTCACAAGACATAATGTTCTTTGCCTTTCTGATATGATTCTGTAGTAAACGACAGTGGTGTTTCCTGATGTATTTAGAGCTGATGTGAATATAGTGCGTGTTTGGAAAATGCGAAAGTAAACTTTGTCGATTTTTTGCATTTCTAACTCCAAATAAGTTGGTTCTTTGAATTGAACTTCTTACAAAAATATACAGTCCCATTGCGATAGAATAATGTCTTCATTATGGATCCGTTTAGTGTGAAAACATGGTTCAGGGATGGGCTCGCCAGCGTGTGCTCCGGTAGTTTTCAAAGTTCTGTACTGAGGTTTGTAGATCCTTATGACGTGAATGGTCGAAAGTAGGTATAAGTAGCCGACGACGACTATTCAAAGCCGATTGTCGAAATTGTCGTTTCAAAAACCACCCGAGTATTGGTGGAAAGATGATTATTCACTGTTTGGATCATTCGTCTTTCAGTGTGTTTAATAAGTAGACGAATGCATGCTTATATGTGAAGGATTTTTATTTTCAATAATAAAATTTATTTTAGCCTCGGTATGCTGATTCAAGATACGTGGTCCGAACTTACAAGTTTTTGCACATTGAATCACCTACAATAGAATAGGAAAAAATTGTGAGAAGATGCTTGTAAAACATTTATTTATGCACCTATGCGCCCGAACGATGACAAAACTGCTAGTCAAAGTGCTCTTCTTGAACTTCAAGCATTTTCTGCCACTTTTTGATCCATCTGTACAACGTACTTTTGCCAGCTGTGTCTTCGCATCAAGCCAAATTGATGCGTTCACTTGCCACCGTTGCAATTAAACCCAACAGCCATTCGTGCATCATCAACAACCTAATTTGTTCGCTTATTAATTTCATTCCGAAATTAATAGGTGAATCATGTAACAATCAACGCGGAAAAGACGGGCTTACAAATGAGCCTAAAACACAGGAAATGGCCGACATCCAAGAAAGTTACTAGCATTTTCTCAGAACGTTTTCTTCAACTCATTATATCTTTTTCTTCTTCTATTCCATCATAAAGGGGACAATGCAGAAATAGATGGAAGTGAACTATGTGGACCGATCTCAGAGAAATTCTGTAAAAAATTACACCTTTAAAAAATTAATATCGCCAAGGGTGAGCCGAGGAGACTGATTGGAGAAATTTTATCGGGACTTCATGTAACGGACAGGATGGGTTGTCCTCAGTTTATCGTGAAGATCCCAACCATGTGACTGACGTTACCAACATTGAACCTCATAACATTTTAAATCAAAATTCAACTGGACGTAAAAAGCTGACTGCTTCAAGTATAATTTAATAAAAAAAAAATCTTGGGAAATGGAAGGGAAAAAGGGAAAAAAGCGAAAATTAAAAATGTTATTTCTATATCTTTGTTGAAATCTCTAAGTGATTACATTCTTAGAAGTATCTCACGATTTGCGCTCGTTCATCATTCACTATTCTGACGGCATTCAACAACACAAAACTAGGCGTTTTGTGAGAAACTCTTAAGTTGACGCACTGAAGTAAAGGCGCATTATCACTGAGCAACCACAACTCCTCACCTACCAAGTCTACCGGAAGTGATGATTTTCTCCAAACAATATAACTGTCTCCTTGAACTTTAGTACTAGGTCGTGCCTAGACTCAGTCACAAGATTCAATTTTATTTTGGAAAGGAGCTAGGGGTACAAAAAAGAAGATTAAATCAAAGAATTAAATATAGATTTAATAAAGATAAAGTATAATAAAGATAAAAATCATAATCTGCGATAAGTATAATAAAGATAAAAATCATAATCTGCGATTTGCTTACAAGCACCACTCACTTCACGTTAAGTATAACAGAACTCTTTTTATTTAACCGTCTTTAGCAGTAATATGATATTATAACATACCCAAAGTTGAAGAGTTATGTTCAAAAACATTTGCATCAGCTGGGATTCAAACCGACATATCACCATATTCGGTTGCGCGTGCACATCACTATACTCTTTATCATTTGGTATATTATAACATCTTATCACCGCTAAAGGCGGTCACATAAAAAGAGTTCTGATTGATTTTTGATATCCAATATCTGTTAGCACAAGTGTGTTCAATGCCGATAGCGATTACCAACGCCAGACCGTTGACGATCGGCTGTTGACGATAACGCGTCGGTGGCGTAAGAGAACGGTGTCAAAACGGGCGTCGGTAGTGCAACGGTTCAGTACGCACTCCCGGATAAGGTAAAATGAGGGTTCGAATCTCATCTGACGGAATTGTTTTTGCACATCACTCTTTAAAATTGGCTTGAGTATAACACTTAAGAAGAACTGCTTCTCCGTGCATGCGATAGTATAGGTTTCGGGTACTTTGGCGTTTTTGGCAAAATAACTTTCACCATGAACATTCAGCGAATGACTAAAAACACGAAGAGGACGTTTAGTGTTGAAACAACGTGGATCAATGCCGGTTTTGACCATTTTCGTTGTTCAGTGGCCAGCATCAATCTATGGCAAAGACGAAGTCGAATCGTTCTGCCTGGACTCCAAAAATTTTCGAAGAAGGCCCCATACATGCTTCGAGGTCATCGCTGGAGATTTTATTGGGAAAGTTGGACCTAGAAGAACGCCTGAACAGCGTCACTAGGAAAAAAAGCTCTCCAAGTTTATCGTGACAACCTACGTCATCCATGTCAATAACAATTAACGGCGAAGAAGACGATTGGCTTATCTAGCATCTTCAAGTTAGCGTTACGATAGCCATACCTTGAAGGTCACCAAGATACAGTTGTCTCCCAAGACATTTGAACTGATGCACCAACTTGAAACCGCACGAGCAGCGGGCAGCAGGAATCTCGCTTCCAATTTTGCAGAACGCAGTATAAAGGTGCTAAAAGAAGATCTCAAAAAGTAAGAGAAGCAGTTATGGCCAAAGGTGCGGAAGATGGGAGAGCATTAGCACATTCCACTATAGCGAATTTTGCAACCGGCCATGCTGGCAGAACAGATGCAGCTTCAGATTTGCACTGAGAAAAATTTCCAAGGAAGCCATATCCTCTCAGCGTTACATGAATTGAAAGAAGATGAGTTTTCCACCGGCTCTTTCTTCTGAACTCCGGCGCTCCATATAGTCTGTTATATCCGTTTCAATGAACCCACTTGCTTGGCCCCTCACACGTTAACCTGTTGGAATGCAAGGGTACTATATTGAAAAGAAGCAGGATCGTAAAAGTGTTTGGAAAGAAACACCTTTGCGGTATTGGAAACCATTGCCCCTCTGCCATGTATAAACTCTCGCTTTGAATCATGCTAAACATGACTTACGAAACAGTACATGGAGGCGGACATGAGAACAAGCAGTATTTCGAAAAGAATTCCGTATTCACTCCATCCACATCATAAGGGCTCATTGTGGTTTCACGCGATTACAAAATATCTCTCTGACTCAATTTTGTGGATTCAAAAAAGTCTTCATACAATTCGAATAGAAGCAGGCATAGAACCGTGGATAAGGGCCCGTCTGCTCACTAGATAGTGATTCTTCGTGAGCTATACAAAGTTTCCACAGGTCGAACATCACCATTCTATAATGATATTACTATACGTAAGAAGAGGAGTTTCACAACGCGATACCATCTTATCAAAATTATTCACTGCCAGCCTCCAAAATGTCAAGAAAGTGTCAAAATGGAACGACATGAAAGTGGAAATTGATGATCGACAATTGCATCATTTTTTTCTTCTCTGATGACATCAATCTTGACAAATGCACCATTTTTTCTTCTCAAATGACATCAGTCTTGCAACACCAAACATCAATCATTAGGAACGAATGTTAATCAATCTTGCCAACGCTTGTGAAAAACCTGATTTGCGACTAAATTTCACAAAAAACGATGTTCATAAGCAAAGGGTTGATTTTGTAAACCTCATGCACGTTTGAAGGAAAGAACTACTTTCTTTTTTTGCAAAACTTGCGCAAAGATCGTATCATTTCAATTTCGATATCTATTGTTACAGCGATTTGGCTTTCTTCCCTGTTGCTGACAGCTTATATGGTAAAGGCCACCGATGTGTTGCCACATATTTGAATTTTTTGTGATCTGTAATCACATATTTATTCTGCGGAATTTGGTACATTCTAACATTTCATTCGTTTTATCGCATTATTGTCCCAAAGGTCCTCGAAAATTTTGCGTTTGTTTAGACTGCTGCTTAACAATTTCTTCCTCTTTGTGACTGCTGTATAAGACTGGTGGCAGGTCCTGCAATTTGAAAAGAGACAACCTGGAGGGTTTTTCAAAGCGTTTTTTGACTGATTGATGGTGTTGAGTGAGGAGGTCGAATCAGTTTTCTGATAACGTGCACCACTAACTATTCGGCCATCGCTCTCTATAAATGATATAATGCTTTATTGGACGGTCCGCCTTCACGAATTGTGCGGTGCGGACCTCAGCACATCATTCCATCCGTCTCGTCTTGTCGCAAATGTCGTCCATGGCGAGGGTTTCTTTTAAGCATGGCCACTGGCGCGAGTTCCATACCGTGATCTGTAGAATATCGGCAGGTACGAATACAGCTGATGCGAATATAGGCATGATTACAGCTGATTAATTCTTCTAGTGTGTACGTCCGCCCAGCGTGTAGGTGGTCGTCCTCGGGGACGGGTGTAATTTCGTGGCCTCCATTCTAAAGTTCGTTTCGTCCATCTGTCGTCTGATCCTCTTACTCTATAACCGTCCATCTGTGCCTCGCTATCGATGTAAATTCTTCTGGATCGCGAAGATGAGATAAATTCCTGAGATCTGAGCTGCGCAAGCTGGGTAGGTGTTGTGAGTGCCGACTGATTTTCAGAAGGCATCGTTTAAGCGCTCTGTGTGTTGTTCGCAGTAGACTTGACGTGGTCCAAGTATATCCCACGTCTCCGCTGCATAACAGAGTGCTGGGAGGACTGTTGAATCAAAAAGGTTAGCGCGTATTTTGAGGCCCGTTATTTGGCCGGTGGCTTCTTTGAGAGACCCGATGCAGCTCACGCTACTTTCGTTCTTCTGTGAAGTTCCTCCTTCATGTTGTTTTCCATATTCAGTGAACGATCACGGTGCACGTACGAGGAAGTCTCCGTAATTAGAGATCCTTCCAGCTTGATATGTTCATCACTGCACCGCCGATTTTTCATGAACTGGGGCTTCATGCGATTTATGCGTAGTCCGATCTTCTTCACCGCTTCATTAAGTTCCTTAAGCATCGTCCCGTATCAATAGCGCTTTTCGAGAATAAGGCGATGTCATTCGCAAAACGAAGGTTCGATAGGATTTTCCCATCGATGCGTATGTCCTTCTCGTCCCAGTCAAGTGACTTCATCATCCACTGCAGTGCGACGGTGAACAGCTTTCGCGATATCGTTCCGCCTTGTCGAACCCCTTTTCCAATGGTTATGGTAAGAGGTTGATGAAAGAGCTGTATTTTCGTGGTACAATTCCGATAGCAGTCCGATAAAGTTCTTATTCAAAGCGGATCAACTCCTTGGTCGACAAGCGCTGATAGAACTGCGTTCGTTTCGACGCTATAAAGTACTTTTCCATAGTCGTAAATGCTTTCATAAGTAATATATTATGGATAGTAGATTAGAATAATTGCGAATAACCTTGACCTAATGTGTGATAACACACCATGAATTCTCCCGTGTAAGTTGTTTATGAACTTTGAGGAAGGCAAAATTGCACAAACGTTAAGCATGGCTTTCGAAAAAAAACATCAAGCTCGGAGAAACTTTACACAAGCGGGACAGTTAGCAAGATAAAATTTATTTTCAATGGCAAAATTTGGTAAAAATTGGTCTTTTACTTCCGTCGGAATGAATATATACAAATGGTACAGTTAGGTCAATCTGAGTAGGAAAGTCGATAACAAACGACTTAACTCCAGAGTGGAACAGGATGAAGAGAACGGCCAAGAAGCTTTTAAGATTATCGATGATGCCATGAAGAGGACAAAGAACTCTCAACTGCATACCCACATTTCAACTTAACGATCATTTCTGCCTTAGTATCAGCAGACTGGTCGCTCAATAAGCAAGATGAAAGCTCATTTGGTGTTATTCTACGTGCAATCAAAAAAGGATACCAAGGCTACTCTATATTTTGTAAGTCCAATCTGACAATCTGATTTTTCACAGAAATCTCAGAGGACTGCTCAACTAATCCTGTTTCGGGATGGACTCACTGATTACTACTGCATGCAATAGGGAATAGAAAACGTTTTACTGACCGCTCGCTCGTGTCACGCGGCTATCGACGGGACAACAGGTCGTACAGATGATATTGTAGCGTTTAGGCCGTAAGGATGATTTGCGCCCCTGAGTGAGGGATCTACATGTGGCTTTTGCTGGTCATTGAGCAGAGGCATATGTGACGTTTGAGTAGCATAACAATTGAAGAAAGTATTGTATTTTATTTGACCGCCTCTTGCGGTGGAACGATCTTATGATCTTGTGGTGCAACGGTTCAGCACACGCTTTCGAAAAGGTGAGATCTGGGTTCGAATCCTAGCTGACGCAAATGTTTTGCACAGCACTCTATTTTATTAGGTATTTGTATTTCCGATAGCATTCAAGAACTTTCCATCATTTGAAGTTTCCCATCTTTGAATTCGATCTCATTGGTCTCTAACAGAACGGAGTCAACATTTCATGGATTGAACTCTTACTGACCTCATAGCAAGGTCCAAGAAGGAAGTGTACGAGGATATGTCATTAAAATAATGAAGGTGATGCCACTAAGTTTATTTCTCACACTTTCTTTATTTTCCTTGGAAGCTCAGTGAGTTATTTACGTAATAACATCACGTTGTTTAAGCCTTATAAAGAAGATACGGGCATATTGACTTGTAATGGTAAATATTATCAAGACAAAAATGAAAAAGCATGCTGAAAAGTGCACATAACCTTCGACAGTTAGATAAGTGTGACTGGTGCATAGAGCAATGGTTATACTTCTGTCGGTTATGGACTTTCTAATTTTTGAAAATGTCAAAAATTAATCTATAAATAAAGAATCTAAGCGGTCTAGTAGATGATTGCAGTTCAGAAGAACATTGGTTTTGAACAAATGTATTGCTATCAGCATATGGAAGTGTTTTGAAGCTTAAACCGAATCAAGTTGTGAGTATTTTACACCCTACCATTTCATTCTATGGCAGCAATTTTTTGTAGTATTTTCAACAAAATATCAACTCGGCAAGGTTTTAGCTTTTAATTTGCTGCTTATTCCTTGTTTACGGCAAGGTGCGATGTGAAATACAGCCAATAGAATGCTGAGATGTGAGTGAAACTCGGTATCTCAGGTGAGTTTTGAACCCGTGATAGCTCTTTCGAGCGGCTCACGTATCACCATTGCACCACAAAGGTCCATGCTTTACCTTTCTGTTAGTCATGTTTCAACCTCACCGACGCAATTAGCAATCAGCGCCCCGTGTTTGAAGTTTTTTGCACATTCTTATGTTTACGAAATATCTCTGCCGGACGGACACCCGCCATAAAGCTCTGTGTCGTATAAGCTACTAATGGAGCACAAGAAGTGCACGAAAAAAATATTGTGCAGCAAAAATGAGATGAATTGGATAGAGTGCGCGTTGTCCACCTCACTTTACCATCCGTGTCAAGTATAGAGCGCACATGAGGCACTATGTGTTGCTAAAGCTAAGTGTGTCACCCATTTACCATTTTAGATGTTTCGTAGTGGAATTCACAATTTATATAATTTGTGAAAAGCTTAGAGTTTTGAGGACTGTCTGAGACATTACAACAAATGCTAGGAAAAAACAAGGATGTTGAAATTTCTGCACGGCCTCGTGAATCCTTCTGTCCTATGAAATACCGTATAGTTGACACTTTCGAGAAAATCGCGTTCACGAAGGTGTACCATTACCATTTCCTGTGAGGATACCCATGGCGCAAACGCTAGAGGTGTGTTGCATCACAAACGTGAGCTATGATTCAATACCGTTCCCTAGGCTAATCAAGCTTTCCATTCCCCCGGAGTCGGTAAATTGTTACCAGACTTCTCTGCGAGATGGCCGCACTGATTTGATACATCGGCAAGTCATCTCAGAAGCCTAGCATACATTCAATCACCTCTAACGATGCCTAATAAGTCGAATGTATTACGTATTCCTCAGAGGTTATTCAACGCTGAGAGCTTTATCTTTCTCACCTTCTATCATTTGTTGTCATCCAGATGTTGGCTAGCACTAATGTTTAGACTTCCTTTAATAAACTGGAGTATTAACATGTCTTTAGACTGAGTACGATTGTGTGTGAACCGTTGCGGATCAATAATGTCCAAGTGAGGGATTCTAGGCGAAGGCTAGATTACCCTGAATTGGCGACAAGTCATTGTTGACCAAGCCCATTGAGAAGTTAGGTAATCTATACAAATAAAGAGATTGTGGGAATCCTACTAATCCCTCAACGAAAAAGAAGTATTCTGTAATGCTGCCAGAGATAGTCTTAGTGGTTCTACTTGGAGGGAAGATAATCCGCAGATGACGCGGAGTTTATCAAAAGCGATATACAATGGTGTCAATCCACGCCCATCGGCACTTCCTTGTTTTTATGACAGCTCATAACTCTGACAATTACTTCTTGAATGCTTATCGACTTGCGTTAATAATGAATATGTTTTATCATTTGGAAAACTTATCAAGAAATAGGTGTATCAAAGCACCGTAACCACAGGTGACAAGTCCAAGTTTCCGGTTTTGAGGACTTTTTCAGATAGTGGAAAATGTTCTAGACCGGTTCATTGTAGGATCACAATCACCACAAGAACTTTCAGTGGAAAATTAATAACTTGAAAAGCCCTCATTCGGAATCATTTTGTACCCTTGAGTTTCTGAAGCCCATCTTTATGAATTTAAGGAAAAAACAGAATTAAGTTTGTTTTTAAAAGCGTCCAAGCCGATGCAAATCACAGTTCTGAGGTGTTGTGGGAAATTCTCCGAGTTTCATTTGGATAATGTGAGAAGCAAATTTTCAATTTGATATGACCCTTCAGTTAGCATTGTATCCTTGAGTTTCTCAAATCCATCTTTACGAATCATACGAAAAAACAAAATTAATCTTTTTTGAAAAGCTTCCAAGCCGATGCAAATTACAGATCCGAGATTTGATATGGGAAATTCTCCGAATTTCATTTGGATAGTGTGAGAAGCGAATTTCCAGTTTGATATTACCCTTCAGTTAGCATTTAACGCCGTCATAAAGACTTGTTGAGTCGAAGCTTTGTTTGTTCAAAGATCAGGGTCCAAGTTTTGCTTGCATCTCACCACTCCGATTATACTCTAAAACCTTGGTCTACTTTGGATTACTTGCTCTGTCCCAATTGATACGTCTTACTAAAAGTAGCATTTATGTAAAAATGTAAAAATTTGCGTATTACTCAATTGTCTCACACATGATATCTTTTTGAATGAAACTAGAATTGACGTCATGTCAATGTTAACGTTGTTTATGACGCAGTTCATCTACACCAGTTGCATCTTCAATGATGTTTTTTTCGTTTTTCCCATTTTTCGTTTTCTTTTTCTGTTGTTTTGAATAAAGATCGTCGTATCGAATATTCATTTGTCACGTTGGAAATTTCGACAGTTTCCAATCTGTGCTTGCTTGATGAGGCAAAATTTCCGTGATAAAATTCACCACAAATCGCGAACGCATAAGATTTGCTTCTACCTCTGACGTGCCGGCTAGTGGAAATATTGAAGTGGAGCTCGATATCAATGCGTGGCTATTTCAGTTTTTTTTTTTCGTAGAAACCGAAAAAAGTGATGCTTACTGTGTTTTCTAAGTCGGTCGCTCGCCTATGAAAAGGAAGCAATAACACATAGAAACTACAGGTCAAAAATGGAACAATTACTTGTCGCATTTGGAATACTTCAAAATGGCGCGTGACCACTGTAGTTCTTACTAGCGCGCTAAGCGTTAATCCGGTTCGGCCTCCACAATATTTGATGTTTAACGGAATGCAGGGCGGCTAACCGATGAAGATAAGGTCAATTTTGCAATAGATTTGTTAACTATATATTCTGCAGAATTGTTGATACACTCGATCTGAGCTGAAGTGAAACCTTGTCACATGCACGATTTTCACCCACGATTTGGCAATTTTCGATGGGTAGTGTAATTGAAAGTTGAGCATTTGACTTACAATCGCAAGAAGCTCTTCATTGCCATTGTAATGCACAGATATTTTTTGAAATCCTACATTGATTTGAAAGTGATATCAAACCCTGGTTTTCGTCTGTGACACGTGAGAATTATGGATTATAATCTTGGAAACTCATAGTTCTTATGTTGCAGGCGACAATTTTTGCATCTAAATTCTGACCCGTTCAGCATGGCAGTCGAAATTGCAATACACCGCGCGAATGCCAAAGCTGCGCACAATTTCTTCTGTTCAGTAAGGGTTTATTTCCATTTCGGAAAGATCATAGCTTTTGTTGTTTTACTTTGAAATATCACTAGTCACCCTATATGCCCATAGGCTTATACATCTCTTATGTATGAAGAAAAATTTCATCTTACTACGTAAACATGCTTCTTTTGGGAATTGATAAGTTGTAATAAGTTTTATAAAGAATGTAACGATATAATGTGACAACATATTTTGAGCTTTTTATAAGGTTTGGTACGGCACTTATACAGTGCAAGGGATTGACTGAACCGAAAAGCACCATGCTACTGATGAGCCTGCAATGTCGAAACACGTTTGTAGCACTGTATAAGGGCCATACCAGACCTCAGAAAAACTCTAGATATGTTATCAGCTTCTCACATTAGATTTTTGTTTTTCTGAGCGAGGTCCACATAAACATTCGAAACTAAAATTATAAAGCTATGAATCTTCGAGTTTTGATACACTATATTTTGAAAAAGGTCCCAAAAGTTATTAGAGCGATTGAAAGTAGCAAAGGAATGAGTAGTTTTTGAAAAATGATACCGAATGCCAGTTAAGTTACCATTTCATCAGGAGCACCCAATAATTTTTGCATTGTTATTGTACCACAAAAGTTGAGCCCATTAAGTATTGTAGAACAGACTTTCTTCCGTCGCTCTATGAATGTCGTTTTCCATGTATCTACTTATACTTTACTATAGACGTTATTCGTCGTTGCATCTTTGCCACTGGTAAGTCTAATGCTTTTGCGTATTCTGCGCATTTTTAGTTGATTACCTCTAATGCCACCTCTTCTACGTTCCCCAAGTTCCATTCTCTTGGAGTAACTCCACTGTGATAATCTGCAGATGGTTGTAGCCGTCCACCATTAAACCACAAACTTGGTCCGTCAAGTGCTTATCCCGGATCACCTCAAACTACCTCCGCTTGGAAAAATAGACATTGCTGATTTCTAGGATTTATCATAGCTCACATTTGCGAAGACGAGTCGAATTTTGCGTCACATAAGAACTCCCTGCGAAACGCTTTAGACGTCTTTAGAATAATCAGTATGTACTGCGTATTTCTTAGCTCTTCATTTCTGTCACTCGGCTTCCACTGT